AATTTCTTTCTTTTCTTGTTTTTCCCTAAATTGATGACATTCTCCTGTTCCTTAGGCTCAAACTCCGGCTATGGTGGCATTAATGATGAGAGGCGAATCAGCACCGATTATTAGCGAATTATCTACACCACCGCCTGTTCCCGATGCCATGCGAAACGAACCTCATTCTCAAGAGTGATGTGAATGCATTCGAATATGTAGTTATTCAATCTCTTCAAACATTTTTCGCATTGGGTTTTGTTTTGCTTTCATCGGTGATGTCTGTAGGTGCTGTTTGAAACTAACAGTCATAGCTATCAAAAGCTTTGACAGGCTAGATACTCGTAAAACTTTAAAATAAACGTACCTTGAAGACGCTTACATTTTTGTGATAAATTTGAAATTGTTGCGTTGCTTCGTTGTCGATAAGGTTTGCTTAACCTAGCTCCTATTTTGTGTTCCTATTAGTGCGCAATTTCAATTTTGTTTGCTTTTTTTGAAAGATGATAACAAGGTGGCTAAACATAGAATATTGCAAGTTTGTAGTTGTTTGTCAATGTCAGCTGAGGAGCCATCTCAGCCTGAAGTTGCTGATGCTTTCACTCAACGTTTCCAATATGCTCTCACCAGTCAAGCAGCTGATCTCTTGAAACTTCCGAAACGGCAACGCAACCATCGAAGTTACGAGCTCGGTACTCTTGGTCCTGTAACCGAATTCGTCGGAACACTTGAGCAGGTTAGTCAGTAGCTGTCCATCTTTGACACATTTTTCCATTTCATGAGAGATGTTTGTGTGTTTAGCCTCCTCTTGGTGAAGGTTCGTCATCTACGTCTCCCACTGGTTGGAGTGAAGGATTGCTTCGAAACATGGAGGATGAGACTGGTAACTTTATTCTTTGTTAAAATCATTTTCCCCTTTTCAGTCTCAGAGGCAAGTGACATTGGAAAGTCTTAGGATCGATCTTAGCGCTCTGAGGGTACCCAGCCCAAGGAACTGAACAAAAGGAAAGCATCTCTTATTTTATTGAAGAAGTTCTTTTCAGATGCACAGAGAAAGACTGACTTTGCTCACTGATTTCGCAGCTATATGTGCATCTTTATGCGCATCCTGCCCCAAACACTACGCTTACAGGGTTGGTGGGATTTTTTCATTATTTCGAGACCTTGTGTTGTGGTACAACATTTTCTTTCAGACGGTTTATTTGGCTCACGTTATCAATCATGTAATACGAACAAGGAATCTTGTCATATCTAATAGTCGAAGATTGTCTCAGGCTACCGATAAGGTTGGTGACGCCCTTTCTTTAGTCATCCATGGCGTGAGGATAGTGAAAGACAGTCGATAGAAATGAATTGTTGAAGTTTTATTAGTAATTTTGGCGCAGCTTTCGCGACTTCAATCGTATTGAAATAACATGCTTTCTCTGTTCCATACGGGAGGTAAAGCTGCGTTTATACTTTAAGCTGCGTTCACACTTCTGGGTCAACGTTGCGAGCGTAAGGCAGTGTTTGAGCGTTTCGAACGTAGGGCATCGTTTTGAGCGACTGGAAAAGTATAGATATTGGTCAAGCGTTTTGAGCGTTCGAGAGTAGTTTCCAACTTTTTGCGGGCAGTCGCTGACGTGCTCTCAAAACGCTGCAATATGCTGGCAAACGCTGGATCGATACCTATACTTTCCTAGTTGCTCGAAAAGCTCGAATGCTGGCGTACGCTCGAAACGTTCAAAACGACACCATACCCTGTCAAAATTTGTTTCATGTTTTCCCAAGGTTTTTTTTTGTTTTTCTATTCTTCTCACTCGCGAGGTATGAACGCGGCTTAAGTTTTTAAACGTTCTGCATGATTGCTTCTCAAATGTTACCTTCCAGGGAGAAGCTACCGAGGATTTGATCGAAGCTTCGAGAGATCAAGGTTTTGTTAGGCCGACAGTCCTGATTCTTTGTCCCTTCAAGAAAGATGCGTATGATATTGTGGAGAGACTCGAGCGATTAATTTTTGGAAAAAGTATGTTTTCATTGTTCCACTTCAACTTCCCCATTTCCAGTTTCACTGGAACTGTTTAACTGCAGACAAAGTCTCGACGTGGAGCAGAGATCGGTTCCATAACGAGTTCAAGAGCGAACCTCCTCCTGCTTTCAAAACGAGTATATGTGAAGAATATAAAGTATGTATCTTGGGTTTTCGTATTTTCCCTTCTGCTTATTGAATCATTAAGGAGTTGATCACGGGGAACAACGACGACTGCTTTCGGGTTGGAATAGCTATTTCCAAAAAAGTTTTAAAACTATTTGAGGCGTTTGATAAGGTTCGTTGTTACGCTTTTCATACGAGCACTGTGAAAACCACGTTTTTTAGTCTGACATAATTCTTTGTTCGCCACTTGGTCTTCGCATGATTCTTGATGGAGATGCTGGTAAAGAAAGTCACCTAATTTCTAATATTCAGATAGCTGTCGTTGACAAGGTTATTTTTTATCACCAGTTATTTGCCAATTTGATCTTCTTGGGTTGCGTGACCTAATTTTTGTGACTACCGAACTGCCGCTACTGAACTGTTACTACCTGAAGACCTTAGAAAAAAAATTAATGAATGCTTGTCAGAAGTGCTTATGTCTGTGTCCTGATCACGAATGTGATGTTCGTTTTTGGCGCTGGCGCCATCTTGCGCCGCCATCTTTTCTCACCAAAATCGATGAGAACGGTGGTTCATGGGGGTTATTTGGCATCCTGGTTACGAGTATGACGTTCATACTTGGCCCCGACTAATCTAGGGCACCCGAATCATTTGCGCTTTGCCAGGGCTGACCCTGGCCTGAAGAGAATGATTTTTCTTCCCATGCTCAGCCTTTGCAAAGCGTTGAATGGTGTCAGCGCTAAAAACGAATGTCATATTCGTTATCAAGGCACCGAATAACTCCAGTATGCGAATTTATATCTATTCTGGTGAAGAAGTGTGGGGCGCCTAACGGCTTCGAATGGCGCCAGCACCAAAAGTGAATGTAATGGTCGTGATCAGGGCACCGAATAACCCCAGTATGCAAGTTCACTTCGATTTCTGTAAAAAGGTTGATGGCGCCTAATAGCGCCAGCGCCGAAAACATGTCGTATTTGCCATCGGGGCACCGACTTACCCTCTATAACAAAATATCAGCTAAAACAATTTCGAATTTTGAAGTTTCAATAGTTCAATAGTGCTAATTTTTCCAACAGATGAACTATTTCAGGCTGACATAATGTTACAGCAAAACTGGGAGCATCTCACCATTATCTTTTCTCATATGCATACACAACCTTCCAAAATAGAAACAGATATATCGCGAGTTAGGCAGTGCTATATAGGTATTAATCATGTTCTTGTCAATCTCTAGCTGCCACGGCATCAGTTCATCGGTTTGATGTGTTCCCTCTTTAGATGGCTTGTCAAAGTTTTACTGTCAGTTGCTTCTGTTTTCACGGTATGAGCATGAACTTTTCTCTGCCCTTATCTTGGAACATTCGTTGAATTATAGTGGAGTGGTAATACCGAATGCATCTTGCGATGGCACCCTTGACAAGGTAAACTTTCCTATTCCTGCTTTTTCATTTTTCACTTGCTATCGTTCTTAAGGACACCTTACGCGATTACTCTATGAGTACAATTCTTTCGGCGAAATTGGTAGCCAGGTCCGCAGTCGCCAGAAAATCCGCTACTGTCATCACTTAGAAGCGCAGGGTATGGTGCAAGGAGGGAAACCTGTTCCTTTTCGCATCTCCTTTCCCGTAGGTGCCCACACGAGGACGGCTTGCACTCGTCGGCTAATTACCGTGCCGTTAATCTTAGTGGTCCCATGTGTTCGTCGTAGGATCGCTAGGTCACTTATGCTGACTGGGCCTGTGCACAAATTCCAGTTACTTAGAACGAGATTATCGATAGGAGAGGAAATATGAGAATTATGAGTTGAAAAGAAGACTTTTCCCACCAGCTGTCGATTTTGCAGCAAGAATTTAGCAGATTCGGGATGTCCGCTTGCGGTAAACTCATCCAGTGCTTGAGAGAAGTATGGTCTTGAAAAGGAGAGTTTTTGAATTCTCTACTTTTTATCATATTCGCTTTCTTTTAAGCCCGTACTACCTATGAGTTGAAATCGCGGATGGTGTCTTTAAGATTGTTCGTTTGCTGCGTATAAGAATGCTTTCCCTGAGAAGTTATTCTAGATTGAAATCCCTCTATGTCAAGAACTACGGCGTTTCGCTGTGGAGAATCCTTCTGAACAAGCAACTGCAAGGTTCACCTGCTTCAAGGAATATGTAAGTGTCACGGAGTTTCGGTGTTATTCCTGTAAATTGTTCATTCGTTCTATTGCATTGTAGTGCGCTGCCACTTTGCTCCCTGGTACATGTGTGGTTATTCCGTCCTATTTCGACTTTGTTCGTGTCAGAAATCATTTTAAAAGAATTGAAGAAAGTTTTGTAGCGTGTCATGAATACGCCCCGAAATCCAAGGTAAGTCAGAACGATTTCAAAGGTTCATTAGCTCTTCGTCAGCTGAATTCCCTTGACTTCCCATAAAGAAAGAATCTGTTTCAGATTCTCAGAGCACGAGATCTATTTTATCATAAACACAAGAAAGTGCTCCTGGTTACCGAGCGGTATTATTACTTTAACAGGAAACCTTTGAAGGTTTGTCATTAGCAGTTTTGACTTTTACAAGTCTGCCAGTTCTCTCTGCGATCCGGCTCCCCATTTGTCTGTTTCTCTGGGTGTCTACCTGTCGCCAATATATCTCTCTCTCTGTCTGTCTATATGTTCATCTAACTGTCTATATGCCTGTCTTCCCGTTCAGGTGTTATCCTATTCCTGATACGAACGGGTGATTTGCTTCTGTTGAGAATGTCCTTTGGCGCGTCATTTTCAGTGATTCGTTTGGAATACCTAGGGTGCGCGATCATGCTTCAGTCATAGTCTATCGAGCGACGCCGATTTTGATTTGTTTCGCAGACGACCTGGAACAGGAATAAAATTAAAATTCTATGGAAAAGTTCTCAACTCAAAGGACTGGAAAGGCTCTGCGTCGTTCGGCGACTTCGGTTCCAATTTTCTTATGTACAAGCCGTTCCGCTGAAGCCCACCGTGTTACGTGCATACGATGAAACAGGCCATCTCATAAACCGGCTGTGTGTTATGCCGAACATTGGCGGTCATCGAAGTATCCGCGCGATGCTCTTCTTTTGTCTGGGCGCTCGAAAAAGGGTAAAACTGGTTCTTGAACTTCTTTTACCATCGGACACTGCGAGAGATATTCTACGTCATTGAAGACATTCTGTCTTCACAATTCTCAAACTGTTTACTATTTTACCATCTTTCTTTTGTGCCCGTCTGGTATTCTACTTATGCGTAGGAGTGTTTTACTTTCTGCTGAATACTTTCGCGGCATTTGTAGAGTTACGGAGGTAGTTTTTCAGCAATAGAGGAAGGTTTCCAACAGATGTGCTTAAAAGAATACTAGCATGAAAAAATAGCATCAAGCAGTGAGACATTTCTGCCTAGTTGAGAAGAGAATCTGTAACAAAGGAAGCCAGTGTGGGGGATAGGAAGAGTTAGTTTTGTGAGCGGAGAGCGCTCGAAGAAACTTAGTTTGAAAAACAGGAAATTCTAGATTTTCTAATGAAAAACTGCTGAGGGGTGATTCGCTAATTTAACTATAGGCGTAGAAAAAAAAAACAAAAATTCACGCTGTTG